TCTGCTATTGAGAAGAGCACTCGGAAAGTCGTTGTAAATATGACGAGCGGATTGGCTAGCATCCAGAGTAACCATGGGCCCAAGGCCACGAGCTACAGCATCAGTAAATGTGCTCTCAATATGCTGGTACGTACCCGCTTTCTCTTTACTTAGTTCCAGTAGGCTGACATCTACGGACAGACTTATAAGCAAGCGCGAGAAAAACCAGATCTGATCCCTTTCGTTGTTGATCCTGGATGGGTCAAGACTGAGATGGGAGGTCCTGGTGCGATGCTGGAGCCTCATGAATCTGTATCTGGGATATTGAAGCATGTATCGGGTGCTACGCCTGATTGTGCTGGAAAGTTCTTTGGCTATCGGGGGAACGAGATTCCTTGGTGAATACAATGAGTTACGGAGATGTACGTTGGGCATATACACAGCCTGGCAATACTGTCCTCCGTCATATCCCAGACCAATCATATCATCAAGTCCACATCATGATAGCTCCTTGACACTGTCCTGCCCTCGTACGCATACAGCTTGATACAATGGTTGATTTTCTACTTCATATGATCTATGTAGTGTACCCTGACGAGGGGGAGTTTGTATGATAATACATTTATTAAATACTTCCCCAAGCTCACCTCAACCTCAAGGCAGTGCGGACATATCTGAGCGCGTGCTGGTTAGCCACATTGCACGTGAGGTTGAGGTGTTCTCACTCAACATTGTACTCAACAATTCCCAAACAAACATCGAGTGCCAGTGGTGCTTACCACATGGGTAAGCTGGAACAGCGGCGTGATACTTGTCATGAGTGGTCTGGGCACTGCAATCCCAGAAGTCCCAGTCAGATGCTTTCTGGACAATGCAACCTCTCAATTGAAAGATAAGGTATCAATGTTGCTAATGTACAGTGGTCATTTGGTTACGGTTCGATTTTGGACACCGATATTAAACTCAGTCAATTTTTGTTCGAAGGCCGATAAACTGTAAAGGATTATTTTGTAGATATGCAAATAATGATTAATGATCACCGACAGCTTAATTAAGATTGTGAATTGATCACGAGCATCTTGACAGGATTGAGAGCCAAACAAAAATATATTGTCATATACACACTTTCAGGACATATAGAGATACATGACAGCTCAAGACCCGTAATCAATAATGTGTGATATTGAGAGATCAAGTTTCAATCAAAGAATGGAGTGTGGGGAGGGGCATGCAAAGTTCAACATGTATTCCAAGAAAAAAACTGCTCAACGACAAACACTGTGGGGATCGACTTATAATAGCTAGACTTGCAGTGTGATCTTACAGTGATTTATTTGTAAAAATATACCAATTATATCTAAGGAAAATATGAAGCAAAATTTTAAAATATAATCTCTAATATCATTTGCCTGTCCTCACAGCTTTGAGTCTGGAATTTTCAGTAAAATCATTGTACTACTGTCTCATATGTTATATAGAAAATATTTACAAAATGATCATGCTCAAGGCAGGCAACATAAATAGAATAACCGGTAGATAATATTTATAAAATTATCCAAGGATCCACTCTAAGTTGCATTATCATTGATCCTAAGCATTTGTTATGAAACATATCAAACTCGTATCTTCCTTATATTCAACCCTTATCCTGCCAGCTGAGTTATTCCAAATCTTATCTAAATGTTTGTTGTCATTACACCATCATCATGATGCCCAGTGAAAAGCTATCTAGAAATATGGAAAAAGCTTGAAATAATGTAAACATGTAAATATATAGACAAACGACAACATATCATGGAAATTAGTGATCAAGTGACTCATTGGCATGTAAGGAATGCTGCATAAGATCCATAATCAAGATTGGTGTTGCACATAATATATTGATTGTCGCTTTCTTGCTTTCTTGCATATTTTTATAGACTCAAACAGATATTTAGAGTATCAGTCATTAGCTATATGCGTCATCATACCAGTATACTGTTATATATACCACCAATGGTTCTACCGTCACCCTGTTCCTTACCATCACCTCAAATCTTCACATTGACTCCCTCATCCCAGCTTTGATGGTTCCCAAATGCCAAACCACAAGCAGCTGTGGTGAGGTGTCCTCACATACACCACTGGTACCAATTATTCCCCCACTACTGAAACCACCTAGCAAATGAATAGTGCCAACAAAGGCTTTCACACCAATGTCAACTTTTGATGTAACAACCAAGAGTTAGTTACTCTGGCGCACACAGGAACACACTATAAAGGTAGTGGAAGATGGGGAGTGGGTACCCCTTGGGCTGCAGTGAGTTAGTTGGTATACAACAGGAGGACTCGCTGAGGAGTCTCCTGGATCTATTGTGGTTTATATACTACTACAGTTTGTTTGTACATGTGTACTATACAGTTGATGAAGGCAGTGGCTGATGATGTCATAGGGCCTAGCCCGTATGGCCAGCTCCACTGCGTGAGAGAGTTTAAGTCTAAAAGTAAAAGAAAGGCAACGCGGCGCGAGAAAGGGAAATGCCGCGTGGCAATTTAAAGTATAAAGTTAAAACGGAGAATAAAAGGAAAGGAGATGTCCGGAAATTGTGTTATCGTAACACTACCCCCCTTCTAAGGCTCGACTTCCAGGCGAGACCAAATACCGGAGGTAGTGGTAAAATTTTCGGGCATAGGTTGAAAAAGGGAATTAAAAAGGTTTGAATCCATGCCTCTAAGCTTCCTGGGAGCTGAGGGATTCTTAGAATAAAATTCGCGAACAGCGTCGCGGGAGTTTTCCAGATGGGATTCTGGTTCCCACGTTCTGTCCTCGTCTCCATAGCCCTTCCATAGGACCAGGAATTCTAATTTTCCACGCTTCAAGCGTGCATCTACCACCCGTTCGACTTCGAACTCTTCTTCACCTTCCTGGGTGACTACTACCGGACCGGGCCGGTCTACGCGCTGTCCCGGCAGCGGTCCTTTGTAGGGTTTCACACGGCTAATATTAACCGTGGGTACCACCCTCATTCGTTTTGGGAGTTCCAGCTCCACCGCATTAGGTTTGACTTCCTTAATCCGGTAAGGGCCAATCCACTTTTCGGTCAGTTTTCTAGACTGCCGGTCTTTTAATTTTAAGTGGTCGGTATCCAACCAGACCAGGTCGCCGACCTTGTAGTCAGGGGCCTTAGAGCGTCTACGCTCTGCCCTGTCTTTCATCTGCTCTGCAGTTCTAAATAGCGCTTTGCGCGTTTCGTCCAAGACAGACTTCATGTCTTTTGCCATGTTCCCAGCAGCCTCATTTTTGCTCTTGCCAGGTTCTACACCCATTCTGGGGAGGTACGATCTGGTAACCTCGAATGGTGCTTTGCCTGTAGCCGACGACTGTTTAATATTGTACGAGAACTGGGCTATCTTTAGCCACTTGGCCCAATCCGTCTGTCTGTCATTAATAAATATACGGAGATACTGCTTTAACTCCTGGTTAAGTCTCTCCGTTTGTCCATCGGTTTGCGGATGGAACGCCGTGGATAATTTAGGTTTGATGCCCAGCATCCGGCATAATTCTTTCGTAAATTCGCTAGCGAATTGCGGTCCTCTATCAGAGATTACCGTTTCTGGTAACCCATGGATGGACCATACGAAATCCTTAAATAGGTCTGCCGTACCGGCGGCGGTGATGGTTTTGTTGGTGGGTATGAATACTACTTCTTTGGAGAAGCGGTCTACTACCACCATTACTGAATCGTACCCGTTTGACTCGGGCAGATCCGTCGTGAAGTCTACCGATATGTCCTGCCAAGGGCCAGCTGGTATCGGGTTTGGCATGAGTTTACCGGCCGGCGGTAGATGGGAATTCTTGGCCATGGCGCATCTCAGACAGGATTTTACGTATTCCTGTATATCTTTGACCATGCCAGGCCACATGTAGTTTCTGGAGATCAACTCCATCGTTCGTTGCCATCCAGGGTGCCCAGCCACTGGAGTGTCATGATGTCTATCTATTGCCTTGATCCTTGCGGACTCAGGCACATAGATTTTGTTTTTGAAATAGAAGAGCCCGTCTTTCCATGAATAGTTTTCATTGCCGTCAAGGCGTGCCTTTTCCTCTGGGGAGATGTCTTTCCCGAAGATTTCTAGGAGGTCGGAATCTTGCCCGATTCTAACATTGGCGACCCTTGATTGATCTATCAAGGTGACACCTTTGTTGTCGTCTTCAATGCCGTTGGCATGATCCTCTCTTCTAGATAAAGCATCCGCTTTCCCCATTGAGCTTCCTGGCTTATGAATTAATTTATAATTGAACCTTGACAAGTACACCGCATAGCGGGCTTGTCTTCGGTTCAGGTCTCGGGCCGTCATGAAGTACTCTAGGTTCTTATGATCGGTCCAAATTTCGAATTGGTGCCTAGCACCTTCTAAGTAGTGCCGCCAGTGCTCTAAAGCTCTAATGATGGCCAGCATCTCCTTGTCGTATATTTGATAGTTGCGCTCTGTAGGCGACAAACTATGTGATAAATAGGCACAAGGCCTCCAAAGATCATCCGGGCATTTGATCGATAAAACAGCCCCAGTGGCGAAGTCAGAAGAGTCGGTTTCTAACCGGAACTCTTTGTCTAACTCTGGAAATGCCAATATGGGCGCTGTTGTAAATGCCTGTTTAAGCTTATCAAAAGCTTCCTGTTCTTTGGCACCCCAATGCCAAACAAGGTCCTTTTTGGTGAGATCGTTCAACGGTCTCGTGATTTTTGCGAAGTTTTCAATAAACCTTCGGTAGAAATTGCCTAAGCCTAGGAAGGCCCTAACTCCTTTGACGCGAGTAGGTTCTGGCCATTCCAAAATAGCTTGAACTTTCTCAGGGTTCATCCTGATTCCGTTCTGGCCTATGATCATACCGAGGAAGTCTACTTCCTTCACTTTAAAATTACATTTTTCGGGTTTAACGAATAGGTCCCGTTCCTGTAAGCGTCGAAGGACTTCTTGCACGATCCTGTCATGCTCAGCCTCATCGTCCGACTTTGTAAATATTAATAAATCGTCAATGTAAATGACGACACAGTTTTCCATATCCGCAAAGATCTCGTTCATCATGCTCTGGAAGGTCGCCGGTGAATTGGTCAACCCAAAGAACATAACAAGGGGTTCGAAAGATCCTCGGTGGCACGTGAATGCGGCCTTCCAAGCATCTTCCTCTTTGATTTGTACATTGTTGTACCCCCATCTGAGATCCATTTTTGTCAGGATTTTGGCGCTAGCCAATTTGTCCACTAGCTGACTAATCAAAGGCAGCGGATACGCATTTTTAACCGTGTGCTCATTCACGTAATGATAGTCCATAATCATGCCCTTCTTACCATCCTTTTTAGGAATGAAGAACACCGGGGACGTCATAGGACTTTTGGAAGGTCTGATGTAACCCTTCCTAAGTTGTTCGTCTATGAAACTAGATACCTCGTCTCTTTCGGGAGCAGAGAGCGGTATCATATGTCCCTTCCTTGGTTTGAAGGTGTCTTTCAAATCTATAGCATGGTCCCAAGGCTTAGCCTCTGGGAAGCGCTCTGATTTGTGTTTCGAAAAGACTTTCCAGAAGTCGTGGTACTCGGGAGGTACCAGCCTCTTAATCTCTTCCTCAGGTTTTACCTCATCATCGTCATCGTCGATCTTTTCTAAAGATCTGAGCTCGTAAACGTGACTAGCGTTTAACTTTTCGAGACGCTCATTGTGACGGTCATGATTTGGTTTACCCAAGTTTACACATTCCTGGGGACAACGTGACAATGTGACAACCCCTGTCTGCCAGTTGATCTCAGGATTGTGTTTAAATAGCCAGGTCCAGCCTAAGATTAAATTAATCTTCCCTAGTTGGGTAGCCTCGGCAGTGACTCGTTCTCTGTGTCCTTGGTATTCGACCACAAAAGAACATTTGTGTGTGATACAGCCACCTGTGTTAAGCGTACCGTCAACGTTATAGACGGGAATAGACGTTTCTAATTTTATAAGGGGGAGTCCAATTTGCTCCGCCCAGACCTGATCTATGAAGATCCCGTTAGCGCCTGAATCAAGCAGTGCGCTTGTTGAGTGTACTTTGCCTCTGGCAAGGTTTTCCACGCCAACGTCTAAACGGATCTCTTTTTGGAATAAATACGTGCGCATCAACACACGCCTTGGGATTTCGGGAAAGGGTGGCTCCAAAGAAGAAGAAGAAGAAGAAGGAATTTTGAACAATACATGTTTTTCTAATTTTGTTTTACCAGAATCAAGCACCCTAGTGTTTGTCTCGCCGGGGCCACGCTCCAAGGGAGACGCTGGTGCAGCGGTAGTATCATAAATATTACAGTCACATTTCTTTATACAAGTACATACTTCTGATAACAAATTTAAAAACCTATTTACAAATTGGGGAGCCATCCCCGTCATTCCGTTATTGCTCGTGCAACACCCCGGAGCAGGGGCCACTTTGCTGTGGTTTACTTCATTTTTAACAGGAGCTAAGGCACCCAAGTGACCTAAGCCCCGAATTCTTTTCCCTGAGCCTTCATTTCGTTGACCTGTTGGTCATAGAAGAAGGCCCGGATTTCGTCGTAAGAACGACCGGCCAAAGAGTGGAGCCGATCGTCCGGCTGTTCGGTTTCTAGTTGGCGCGCCTGGCGCCCTTGATTATTTTTTTGTTGGGCAGCCTGTGCCCCGTTTCTACAGTCTCGGGACATGTGTCCCTCTTGGCCGCAGTTGTAACAGTTGCCCTTGAATCTGCGCATTTGTCCGCCTTGGACCGCGCCGATATCCATAGGAGCACCCTGTCCTGGCTGCAGCCCGAATGGCTTGAACCCGCGAGAGTGATTTTGATATTGGTTTGATGACCCAGGGCGCCTCTGGGGTATGGTGGTTTGTTTGGTGGACCCGCCACCTTGGTGCATAGCGTAGAGCTCCATGGCCCTACCGACTCATCGGACTTCCTCGGCTGCCAGAGCCAGGTCGTCACTTCTCGTATCCTGCAGGTAGATCTGCTCTGCAATGCGAGGGTTCACATTGCGTTCCAGCAGTTCTACTGCGTGTTCGTTACCTAACCCTCCTTGGATGGAGAGGGCCAGGAACCGGGTGACGTAATCGTCCGTCCTCAGGTTTCCCTGTTTGAACGAACGGATTTGCTGCCGAGCCCAGTCACGCTCAGCTTGTGGTTTGAAGTATTTTTCGATCTCCTTCTTGAGATCATCCCAGGTAGGCCACACACCCGCGGTGTAGCATTCCTGGAGTCTTACTTGGGCGTATCGACCCGCCACAGGTCCTTTTAGGCGAGATAGCACCGCAGTGGCTACCTCAAAATCGTCGGCGAAAGCGTCCCAGTTCGCCTTGACCCAAATCTGGAGCTTGATCCACCATTCCGCAAATCGCGCTCGGTCTCCTTCGAAGGCGCCAGGGTCAGCGACGACTTCGACTTTCTTGTTAAACTTTTTCTCTACCGAGGGGGTTGCTACAGGGGGGTTGGCCTGTATCTCGGCGAGTTGCGAGGTTAACTCAGCTATCTGCACACGCATTGCGTGCAGTAGCTGGTTCATATCTTGGGGTTGCGACGACATGTCGACTTGTTTCTGATGTACGTAAAAGTAGGTAACTGGGGGTCCCCGCTTGCTATCTGCGGATCAACCTCTTCCCAGCTGAGTATCGGATCTCAATCTCCGACTACCCACACTATAGTATTTGAAAATGTATATAAAAGGTAAACGTAATAAACCCTGGTCCGAACAGTTGTCAGGGGGTGGTCCGCTTGTTAAGCTGTCAACCCTTCTCCAGACTGGCGGAGGCAAGTGCCCGGCCTGGTCAGAGGTATTCGAAAGTGAAAGTTTGTATTTCTAAATCTAATCAACAGTGGTTCCACACCGACTGCTGAGCTAAGGTACTCCCCTTAACGCTGGGGGCCGCGTATCACAGGTTTTGGGTTCTTCTCCCAAAGCACTACAAGGCCGTCGCTAGGAGCGCACCTATCTGCTATATGGGATATTCCTAACCGCTAACCAATCTCCTTCACCCTGGAGTCCGGGTGCCCAAATGATGGGACTTCTGCACACACGTGCGAGAGAGTAGAAAGAGCGAGTCCTAATGTAACAACCAAGAGTTAGTTACTCTGGCGCACACAGGAACACACTATAAAGGTAGTGGAAGATGGGGAGTGGGTACCCCTTGGGCTGCAGTGAGTTAGTTGGTATACAACAGGAGGACTCGCTGAGGAGTCTCCTGGATCTATTGTGGTTTATATACTACTACAGTTTGTTTGTACATGTGTACTATACAGTTGATGAAGGGCTGATGATGTCATAGGGCCTAGCCCGTATGGCCAGCTCCACTGCGTGAGAGAGTTTAAGTCTAAAAGTAAAAGAAAGGCAACGCGGCGCGAGAAAGGGAAATGCCGCGTGGCAATTTAAAGTATAAAGTTAAAACGGAGAATAAAAGGAAAGGAGATGTCCGGAAATTGTGTTATCGTAACATTTGATCCCCCAAGCAATTATTTCTGATCAATTTTTACAGGAATTTCTGTGCTATCAAATAGTGTGCAAACAATCCAGCTTAATGGCACCAGTGACAATTCATGCAGTATTGGAACAAATTGGCAGTGTACGGAAAACAGGTTTGTTTGTTCTCTCTCTAGCCTAAAATTGTTCTGATTTTATTCCAGGTTTATACAGAGAGGTCAGAATAAAC